GATTCTACGAGTCACAGCATTACTGGGCTTGGGGCATCTTCTAATACAGATACAGCTGCGGTCACCAAAGATTTAGATCATAGCAGTCAATTCCCTTTGAATACTTGGAAAACCTTCCCAAGAAGGCTGGATATACAAACAAGGCCAGATTGTGAAGACCACAACAAATACCTAATTCTTCAATACTTACACATTGGTAAGCATCCACAAACATCAAGACCATCCAATGACCAATCCTGGAGAAACCTTTCAGACAGAGAATTCAAAATAGTTGTTTTGAGGAAGCTCAATAGAATTCAAGATAACACAGAGAAGGAATCCAGAATCCTATTAGATAAATTTAACAAAGAAATTAAAATAATTTTAAAAAATAAATCAAATTTTACAGCTGAAAAATTCAATTGACATACTAAAGAATGCATCAGACTCTTTCAACAGTAGAATTGATCAAGCAGAAGAAAAAATTAGTGAGCTTGAATACAGTGTATTTGAAAATATGCAGCCCAAGGAGACAAAAAGAATAAATAGAAAAGAATGCACTACACCTACAAGATTTAGAAAATAGCCTAGTTATTGGCCTTATAAAGGAGGTAGAGGGAGAGATCAGGGTAGAAAATTTATTCAAAGGGATAGCAACAAAGAACTTTCCAAACCTAGAGAAACATGTCAATATTCAAGTAAGAGAGTTATATAATAACTTCGATGTGATTTAACATAAAGAAGACCACCTCAAGGCATTTAATAAACTCCCAAAGATCAAGGATAAAGAACCTTAAAATAAACCAGTAAGAGAAAAGAAACAAATAACATACAAATGAGCTCCAACACATCTGGCAGCAGGTTTCTCAGGGAAGCCTTACATGCCAGAAGAAAGTAACATGACCTATTTAAAGTATTAAAGGAAAAAACACTTTCATCCTAGAATAGAATATCCAGTAAAAATAGACTTCAAACATGAAAGAGAAATAAAGGTTTTCCCAGACAAACAAAAAGCTGAGAGGGCTCATCAGCACCAGACCTGTGCTATGAGAAATGCTAAAGGGAGTTCTTCATTCTGAAAGAAAAGGGAGCAATAAGAAATTATCTGAAGGTATAAAACTCACTGTAAATAGTAAGTACACAGACAAACACAGAATATTATGACACTGCAATTGTGGTGTGTAAACTACCCATATCTTGTGTAGAAAGATTAAAAGATAAACCTATTACAAATAATAACTACAACAACTTTTCAAGACATAGCACAAAAATATATAAATAAAAACAATAAAAAATTTAAAAGGAAGATAAAATGTATTTTTATTATTTCTCTCTTTGCTTATTTATTAATTTGTTTGTTTTCACAATCAGTGTTAAGTTGTCATCACTTTAACATAATGGGTTATAAGATGTTATTTGCAAGCTTAATGGTAATCTCAAATCAAAAAACCTACAACAGATACACAAAAAATGAAAAAACAAGAAATTAAAACATGCCACCAGAAAAAACCACCTTCACAAAAAGGAAGAGAGAAAGGGGAGAAGGAAGAGAAGACCACAAAACAACCAGAAAACAAATAGCAAATGACAGAAGAAAGTCTTTACTTATTAACAATAACATTGAATGTAAATAAACTAAACTCTCCAATTAAAAAAATAAAGTGGCTAAATGTATAAAAATTAAAAAAAAAAATAAACAAGACCCAACTGTCTGTTTTTACAAGAAACATACTACATCCATGAAGACACACATAAAATGAAAATAAATGGATGGAAAAAGATATTCCATGCAAATGGAAACCGAAAGAGAGCAGGAGTAGCTATACTTACATCAGATAAAATAAATTTAAAGACCAAAACTATAAAAAGAGTCCAAGAGAGTCATTATATAATGATAAAGGGATCAATTCAGCAAGAGGATATAATAATTGTAAATATATGTGCACCCAACACTCAAGCACCTAGATATATAAAGCAAATATTATTAGAGTGAAAGAGAGAGATAGACTCCAATACAATAATAGCTGATGACTTTGACACTTCACTTTCAGAATTGGAAAGATCATCTAGAGAGAAATCAACAAAGAAACATCAGACTTAATGTGTACTGCAGGACAAATGGACCTAATAGATATTTACGTTTCAATCAATGGCTGCAAAATATACATTCTTCTCCTTATCATTTGGCTTATTCTCAAGGATAGACCATCCGTCAAGCCACAGAATAAATCTTTAGAGCTTCAAAAAAGAAAAAATGAAACCATATCAAGCATCTTCTCTGACCACAATGGAAAAAACTAGAAATCAATAACAAGAGGAACTTTGGAAACTACACAAACACATGAAATTTAAACAATATGCTCCTAATGACCAGTGGGTCAATGAAGAAATTAAAAAGGCAGTTAAAAAATGTCTTCAAATAAATGAAAATGAAAACACAACATGCCAAAACCTATGGGGTACAGCAAAAGCAGTACTAAGAGGAAAGTTTATAGCAATAAGCACCTAGATCAAAAAAGTAGAAAAACTTCAAATAAACAACTTACTGATGCATCTTAAAGAACTAAAGCAAACCATCCCAAAATTAGCTTAAGGAAAGAAGTAATAAAAGTCAGAACAGAAATAAATGACATTGAAAGAAAAAATACAAAACATAAATGAAACAAAAAGTTGGTTTTCTGAAAAGTTAAGCATTGGAGAGAAGACTGAAATAAAATCAGAGATAAAAAAGGAGCCATTATGACTGACACAGCAGAAAATCAAAGGACTGTTAGAGGCTAATATAAGCAACTATATGCCAATAAATTGGAAAACCTACACGAACTAGAGAAACTCCTAGACACATACAAGCTATCAAGATTGAACCATGACAAAATACAAAGTCTGGATATACCAATAACAAGTAATGAGATTGAAGCTGGAATGAAAAGTCTCCTAGCAAAGAAAAGCCCAGGACTCAATGGCTTTGCTGCTGAATTTTACCAAACATTTAAAGAAGAACTAACACCAGTTCTATTCAAACTACTCCAAAAAAATAGAGGAGGGAACACTTCCAAACTTATTCTATAAGGACAGTGTTACCCTCCAAAACCAGATAAAGACACATCAAAAAATAAAAAGAAAACTAAAGGTCAATATCCCTGTTGAATATTGATGTAAAAATTCTCAATAAAATACAAGCAAACAATTCAACAACACATTGAAAACAACCTTCATCATGATCAAGTGGGATTTATCTCGATTGCAAATATAGTTCAATATACACAAATAAATCAATGTGATACATCAAGTCAACAGAATAAAGGCCAAAACCATATGATCATTTCAACTGGTGCTGAAAAAGCATTTGATAAAATTCGACATCTCTTGATGTTAAACCCTCCCCCTCCCAAAACCTGGGTATAGAAGGAGCATACCTCAACACAATAAAAGCCATATACAACAGATCCAGAGCTAGTATCATACTGAATGGGGGAAACTGAAAGCCTTTCCTCAAAGATCTGGACCAAGACAAGGATGCCCACTTTTACCACTGTTATTTGACATACACTGGAACACCTAACTAGAGCAATCAGACAAGAGAAAGAAATAAAGGGCATCTACACTGGAAAAGAAGAAGTCAAATTTTGCCTGTTTGCAGATAATATGATCTTATATTTGGAAAAAACTAAAAACTATTAGAATGGATAAACAAATCCAGTAGAGTTGTAGGACACAAAATCAACATACAAAGTTTACTAACATTTCTATATGATAACAGTGAACAATTAGAAAAAAGAAATCAAGAAAGTAATCCTATTTATAGTAGCTACAAATAAAACAAGATACCTAGGAATAAACTTAACCAAAGAAGTGAAAAATCTCTACAATGAAAATATAAAACATGATGCATGAAATTTAAGAGGACACACACACAAAAATGGAAAGATATTCCATGGGCATGGATTGGAAGAATCAATATTGTTAAAATGTCTATACTAACTAAAGCAATCTACAGATTCAATGCAATCCCTATCAAAATAACAATGACATTCTTCACAGAAATAGAAAAGGTAATCCTGAGGTTTATACGGAACCACAAAAGGCTCAGAATAGCCAATGCCAACCTGAGCAAAAAGAACAAAACTGAAAGAATCACATTACCTAAATTCAAATTATACAACAGAGCTGTGGCAACCAAAACAGCATAGTACCAGCATAGGAACAGTCACACAGAACAATGAAACAGCATAAATAACCCAAAAATAAATTCATACATCTACAGTGAACTCATTTTTTACAAAGGTGCCAAGAACATACACTGGTGAAAGTACAGTGTTTTCAATAAATATTGCTGGGAAAACTGAATATCCATATGCAGAGGAATGAAACTGGACTCCTATCGCTCACTATATACTAAAATCAAATCAAAATTGATTAAAGGCCTCAAACAATGAAACCACTTAAAGAAAACAGTGGAGAAACTCTCTGGGACATTGGTGTGGGCAAAGGCTTTTTGAGTAATACCTCCAAAGCACAGGCAACTGAAGCAAAAATGGACAAATGAGATCACATCAAATTAAAAAGTTTCTGCACAGTAATGGTAGCAATCAACAAAGTGAAGAGACAACCCACGGAATGGGAGAAAATATTTTCAAGCTATCTATATGGCAGGGGATTAAGAACCAAAATATATAAGAAGCTCAAACAACTCTACAGGAAAAAATCTAATAATCCAATTTATTGGGCAAAGGTTCTGAATAGATATGTCTCAAAAGACATACAAATGGCAAAAGTGTGTATGAAAAGGCATTCAACATCATTGATCATCAGAGAAAGGCAAATCAAAACTACAATAAGGTATTATCTCACCCCAATTAAAATGACTTATATCCAAAGACAAGCAATGACAAATGCTGGTGAAGATATGGAGAAAAGGGAACCCTCATATACAGTTGGTGTGGATGAGATTTGTATAGCCATTATGCAGAACAGTATGAAAGTTCCTCAAAAACAAAAAACAAACAAAAAAACAAAAAAAAACAGAGATAGACTACCATGCGATTCAGCAATTCCACTGTTGGATAGTTATCCTAAAGAAGTGAAATCAGTATGTCAAAAAAGACATCTGCACTCCCATGTTTATTGCAGCACTACTCACAATAGTCAAGATATGGAAGTAACCTAAGTGCCCATCAACAGATGAATGGATAAAGAAAATGTGGTACATATACACGACGGAGTACTATTCAGCCATATAAAAGAATGAGATCCTGTCATTTGCAACAACATGGATGGAACTGAAGGACGTTGCGTTAAATGGCACAAACCAGGCACAGAAAGACAAATATCACATGTTCTCACTCATTTGTGGGATCTAAAAATTAAAAGAATTGAACTCACAGAGATAAAGAGTTGATGATGGTTACCAGAGGCTGGGAAGAGTGGTGGGACATGAGGAGGATGGAGATGGTTAAGAGGTACAAAAATATAGTTAGCGATAATCTAGCATTTGATAGCATAGCAGTGTGACTACAGTCAACAATATCAAACATTTTTAAACAACTAAAAGAGTATACTTAGAATGTTTATTACACAAGAAATGATAAATGTTTGAGGTGATGGGTACCTCATTTACCCTGATGTGACTTTTATGTACTACAAGCCTGTATCAAAACATTTAATGTATCCTATAAATGTATACACCTACTGTGTACCCATATTTTTTTTAATTATTAAAAAAAAAAAAAAGAAAGACAAACCACAAACTAGGGGAGAAAAAAACCTTATAAGGCAAAATATATGTGAAAAAAGAACTCATATTCAGAAATATAAAATACTCTTTACAAATAAACAAGATAAAGACAAATGACTCCATTACAAATGAACAAAAGACTTAAACAAAAATAAATTGATGAAAAGCCAATAAGAACACAAAAACGTGCTTAACATGATCGTTATGGAAATGCAAATTAAAGGCACAAAGTAACACTGTTTTGCAATTACTTAGAATGTATAAAATTTAAAAAGATCAACAATATAAGGCAAGGATGTGGAATACCTGGACCCCTCATCTATTGTTGATGGAATGTAAAATTCTATAAAAACTTCAAAAAACTGTTTCCAGTCTCTTATAAAGTTAAACATACATCTACCCTATGTCTCAATATAATTTCACTCCTAGGTAAGAAATGAAAGTATATGTCCACAAAAAACTTGTATAATAATATTCCCAGGAGTTTTGATCATATTAGCCAAAAACTGGAGACAACCCATGTATCTGTCAAAAGAAGAATATGTAAACAAATTGTGTTATATCCATTCATTGGAATAGTACTCAGCAATTAAAAAAATGAACAAAATAAAATGGTCCCCAAAACATGTCAAACAAGAAAAGCTAGACACAAAATAATCATGGTGTTTGATTCCATGAAAATGAAATTTGAGAAGAATAAAATAGACCTGTGGTGATATAAATCAGAAAATAATTGCCTCTAATAGATTATAATGGAGCATGATGAGATTTCTGTTGCAGTTGAAATGTTCTAAAGTATTTTTACTTGCAGGGTTTTAGAAAGTGTTTAGAACAAACCCCACAAGCTTACCAAGGTTAAATGTAGTATTTTTTAGGATGAGATAGATAGCAATTTCTTCACACAGTTGTATCTTCAAGGTCATCACACACCTGCCAAATTTAGTATTGTGAATATCAGGAATTACTTTTTCCTAAAGAGTTAGCAACTTAATAGAAAAAATTCAAGGTTTTATTTATTTTGAAGACTAGTGTTAAAGAGTACCCCTTTATTGTTTTCCCTTTGTTTTGTTTTTACTTATCTCAGGATGCAAAATGCTTGTTTTTGTTTTCCTTTTTTCACTGTGATATATGAATATGTTAGTCATTTGGTAGTAAGACAAGGTATCACCTTTGCTTTCTCAAAATAAAAGACTCTATTTCAACACCAGAGATTCTTAGGACTATCAAGGTTATTGTTGTCATTGTATTTTGCTGTTATATCATATGCCTTACTCTTAATAGGTAAAAGTCCTTCCTCTGGTCTCTAGGAGATCAGGAAGGAATATAACAAATCTTATTTTAATTGTATTAGTCTTCTTACAGGCTTCCTTTTGTGGTTTTCTGCCAGAAGCAGTAAGTACTGTTGCCCCCAAAGAAGCATTTGGAGATGTGTAGGAGCATTTTTTTTTGTTGTCATAGTGACAGAGTAGCAATACTAGTATTTCATAGTTGGAGACCAGAGATACTGCATATTCTGTAATGTATGGGATAGTCCTGAATAATGAAGGATTGTTCCAACCCAATGCCAGTAGCGCTCTGCCTTAATCCATTAGAACAGCCATAACAAAATACCACAGACTGGGTGGCATAAAAAAATGGTAACTTATTTTCTCACAGTTCTGGAGGCTTAAAGTCCAAGGACAAGGTTCTGGCATAATTCAGTTTCAGGTGAGGACCCTTTTCCTAGCTTGCTAATGGCATCCTTCTCACTATGTCCTCATGTGGTAGAAAGATGGATCTCTGGTGTCTCTTCTTGCAAAGACATTCATCTTATCAGACTGGGCCTCAGCCTTTTGACCACATTTAACCTTCTACAATATTGTCACATTGAGGGTGAGGGCTTCAATATATGAATGTTGGAGGGTGGAGACACAATTCAGGCCATATGACATCCCTATTGAGAACAGTAGAGGTCAGTCTGTTCCAATTTAGGATTATACCAAAAGATTAAAACTAACAGTCAACTGATATGGTTTGGCTCAGTGTCCCCACCCAAATCTCATCTTAAATTGTAATCCCCATAATCCCCACATGTCCAGGGAGGGACTTGGTGGGAGGTGATTGTATCAGCGGGGTGGTTTCTCCCAAGCTGTTCTCATGATAGTAAATGAGTTCTTATGAGATCCGATGCATTTATGTGTTTGATAGTTTCTCCTTCACACTCACGCTGTCTCTTGCCTGCTGCCAAGTAAGACATGCCTGCTTCCCCTTCTGCCATGATTGTAAGTTTCCTGAGGCCTTCCCAGTCATGTGGAACTGTGAGTCAATTAAACCTCTTTTCTTTATAAATTACCCAATCACTGCAGTTCTTTATAGCAGTGTGAGAATGGACTAATACATCGACCACTGTGGAAAGAAGTTTGGCAACTTCTCAAAGAACTCAAAGCAGAATTATCATTTGACCTACCAATCTCATTATTGTATATATACCCAAAGAAATATAAATTGTTCTACCGTAAAGACACATACACATGTATATCATACATCTATAGCAACACTATTCACAACAGCAAATACATGGAATTAATATAATTGCCTGTTATGGTAAATTGGATAAAGAAAATGTAGTACATATACCCCATGGAATACTACAAAGCCATAAAAAAGAACAAGGTCACGTCCTTTGCAACAACATGGATGGAGTTGGAGGCTGCCACCTAACTGAACTAACAAAGGAACAGAAAACCAAATACAGCATGTTCTCATTTATAAGTGGAAGCTAAACACTGAGTATACATGGACACAAAGAAGGATGACACTGAGGCCTTCTTGAGGGTAGTGGGAAGGAGGAAAGTTAGTATCAAAAAACTACCTATTGGGGCCAGGTAAGGTGGCTCAAACTTGTAATCTTGGCACTTTCAGAGGCTGAGGTGGGTGGATCTCTTGAGGTCAGGAGTTTGAGACCAGCCTGGTCAACATGGTGAAACCTTATCTCTACTGAAAATACAAAAATTAGCTGGGCATGGTGGTGCACACCTGTAGTCCCAGTTGTTTGGGAGGCTGAGGTGGGAGGATGGCTTAAGCCCGGGAGGCAGAGATTGCAGTGTTAAGATCACACGACTGTACTCCAGCTGGGTGACAGAATGAGAGTCTGTCTCAAAAACAAACAAACAACAACATTAAAAAAAAAACTACCTACCAGGTACTATGCTTATTTCCTGGGTGATAAAGTAATATGAATGCTTAATCCCCATGACAGGTAATTTAACTATACAACAAACCTGCACATATACTCCTGAACCTAAAATAAAAGTTTAAAAAAATAGTAGAATCTATTATATCTTCCTTAGGAAAAATGAAAATAATGCCTTTATGATAAATCAAAACTTCTGATCATCACATTCAAGACCTTTTAAATCCCATCCCTACACTATTTTTCCACGCTTACTTCTAACCAGTCCCCCAAATTACTCACTAGTTCCCTAACTCCATTCTCACTTTCAGGGCCTTTTGCCTTTACCCATGGTATTCCCTCACCCTGGAATGCACTTCTTTTTTCAGTCTGCCTAAAAATATCTACTCATCCTTAGAAGGCATAGTTTCCAGGACCTCCTCTTTGCAATTTTTTTTCTCACCACCATCACCACTGTCAGAATCAATTCATTTCTTCTTTGGATTGTGTTGAAATTACTTACAGCCTGTCTCCTCTGACAGTTTCACCTTTGTATCTCTAGCATCTAACAGTACAAGGTATATGCTCAACAAATATTTCTCAAGTTGCATTAAAATTTAATTAATGTCCATTGTTACATCATTTGTTTTTATTTTTTATTTTTATGTTTTTAAGACAAAGTTCCTCTCTGTCACCCATGCTGAGTGCAGTGACACAATCATGGTTCACTGTAGCCTTGATCACCCAGGCTCAAGGGGTCCTCCCACCTCAGACTACAGGTGCATGTCACCATGTCCAGCTAATTTTTTAAAAATTTGTAATTGTTTTGTAGAGATGGGGTCTTGCTATGTTTCCCAGGTTAGGGCTTCCTGTTAGAGAAAATTATGATTTAGCACCAACATCACCCTATGCCTTCATTTCTTCCTTCCCTATTCTGATACTATATCAAAACTTTCATAAAGTGTTCATTGTTTACTTTATAATAAATATATATGTTTAGTAATGGATAATTATATTTTATTTCTTAGTTTTTATTTTATCATTTTTACTATAAAATATTCTAATTCATATGTTCTTGTCTTGGACAAGCATATCATGTTCCTCAAACATCCCCATCACCAACATTTCAACAATGCTGGTAAAACCT